GTAGTGACCTCCGCCATACCATAAAACAAATATAGCAACGGCTGTGTCTCCACCTCTAAGACGCCTTCTACCCACCTGTCCTCCACCCTTAATTGATCGTGTGGGTGGTGTAGTAACTGTAACGGGGAACGTAGCCTGAGTGCTTTGAAGAAATATATCTTTCCCAAGTTTGGGACAATTTTCTCATGATGTGCCCGGTATCGTTGTATTCATAACAACCCCTTTGCGGGTTTGGCTGCTCATATTGAGTCTGTGCCAGATAACTGGAATAACCATTTGTAGGAACTCATGTCGGTGGTCCATTAAAAGAACTTACCGGAGCACCCCGGGTAATCCGATGTGCGGACTGGGCTGGCTGACTTCCCGAGCCCCTGTCATAATGATTTTTACTTGCAGAGTAGAATCCACTGAATTCCCCATAACTTCGAGACGTCTTGGTCTCCTTATCTTGGCAATTTCTACCACTAGCGGAAATGATGTATTAGCCTGCAGCTCCCGAGTCGTACAAAATTTTACAATTATAAGTGGGTCCTTCAATAAGTCTGTGGACTCGCTCTCTGGCTGTAGGAAGCAAAGTAGGAATATGATGGGGTAACTTATTGAACCTGATGGCATATTATGACACCATCATGGTGACCTGACGCAACCTTTCAAACACTATGTGCCACGCATTACGGAGAGTCCAGGAACAAACATTTTCAAAAGCTTTTCTGAGAATTGAGCCATGAGGGCGGTGTTGCATTGGCCGGTCTTCCCTCTTCATAGGCTTGCCACGGACACCTGTGCAGAATTATCTCTCCCAAGCCCAATTTCTTCTTTTGTTATGCTGACTTAACACTATTGAGCTGACCCATTTCTTAACATACTCTTCGATTCTTCTCAGAGGTAACCCTTACCCCTATTTATACACAACGATCACAAAAGTAGAGCTCCATACATATAAATCTTGGCACGAACCACATAGTCCAGAATTTTGCCAACCACCGTACTTCCTCCGTAGCACCCCAAAATCCGCAATCATGGCGTCCACACTGAGTAGACCTTCTATAAATTTAAAGTTGTTTCTCTAACTCCTTCGGTACTTAAGTATAGGATTATTAAGTAAGCGTACATACCGCAAGTCCCAACCTTATCCTCTAAAAAATCTCTGGCCTTAAACATATGTAAATTGGGGGAACCTTTCAGTACCACATATATATACATTTCAGGCCAAAACTGATGTAACACATGACCCCGCAATCCATCCATTGATAGTGGACTCCCCCACTCGACGCGAAGTCATAGTTCACCACGCCCGATGATCCATAATATTAACCTTCACAACTCGTATAAATCAACCTGATGCCAAGGTCCGTTGCACCCCCACGTGATTCACTGGGTAGTCTCTCAATGTGCACGCATCTTCAGTGGGAACCACACATTGAGGCAATGTTTGAGCATCTATAGCTTTCTCGTAGTCCATCTGCGGCATCACAAACCGTTGACGGACAACTGATACCGAGTGCGCAATGTCATACATGAGTGGATACAAAGGAATACGAGATATATGTTTCAAGCTAAATCAATGTCACACGATAAAGAATGAAAGAAGTGATATTGTTCCTAAACTTCATAGCCTCTGAGAGATAAGTACAGACATCTCTGTACCGATCCTCCAGACTCTACTAAGCTTGCTCGTGAATCGTGAGACCTAGGCAACCTAGTGCTCTGATACCAACTTGTCATGACCCGAAATTTCCCACCAATGGGACCGTGATGGTGCCTAACATTTCACTTGCTAGGCAAGCCAACGTTAGAGAATCATTAAACCAATTCCTTATTCTCATTCAGTAATTAACAATATTTAACTAAGATGAAATATAATAAGTGCGGAATATCATACAATTGTATTAATTACTACTACCCGGATCTGGAGTCACAATTCACGAGCATTCTAGAATTTACTACAAGTAATAGTCTGAAATAAATACAATTGTCTAAATGAAAGAAAACAGTAGGACATAAACAATAGACGGGGACTTCAAGGTCTGTGAACGCCGACAGATCTATCTTGAGTCTCCGGACAGCGGACCAATAGCAAAATCTTGATCAACCTGAGCTGGTATCAAAATCTGCACAAAAAGTGCAGAGTGCAGCATCAGTACAACCGACCCCATATACTGGTAAGTGTCGAGCCTAACCTCGACGAAGTAGTGATGAGGCTAAGGTAAGGCACCTACAAATCAACATGTACAATTTAACAGTGTATATACAAATAACAGAAATGAAGAACTTAACAGAAATTGTCGGGAGGGGAACATACTGAGGGGAATACAAGATAAACAACTACAACAAAATGATTACCGGAGCAGTCAACATACCATGAATCAACAGGAATAGTGAATACATTAAGGAAAAATGCACGGCATCACCCTTCGTGCATTAACTCTCATATCATGGCACGGCATCACCCTTCGTGCATTAATACTCATAATATGGCACGGCATCACCCTTCGTGAATTAACACTCACAATATGGCACGGCATCACCCTTCGTGCATTAACACTCACAATATGGAACGGTATCACCCTTCGTGCATTAACACTCATAATATGGCACGGCATCACCCTTCGTGCATTAATACTCACAATATGGCACAGCATTACCCTTCGTGCTTTTACACTCTCCCTTACCATAATGCAATGCATAAATAACAACAGGGAGATGGAATAACAAGTACAAACCTTACTTCAATATTTGGTTCCATAATATCAATCTCAACTTTGAAATAAAAACTCAATTATCACCAGAAAATCCGTAAACATGATGATAAATTGAACAACACTAGTATAACACATAGCAATTTGGCATAGGAAAGAGACAATATAAGAAAAACAAAGAAACATGAAAAACAGGTGAATTGGCGGTGCATAAGTACTTGTCACCTCACATATACGCCGCTCACATGGATTTCACTTAGCAAGTAATCTAAGGTTCCTAATTCCCTCAAGTCAGGGTTAGACACAATACTTACCTCGCTCTGAAGGCCACTTAATTCTCAATCACAGCTTTTCCTTTGGAATTCACCTCCAAACCACTCGTATCTATTCAAAAATGACTCAATAATATCAAATATTGCTAAAGGAATCAATTATATTGCATAAATTAAATTTTCTAAATTTTCTTCCAAAAAGTCGAAAAATCGACTCTGGGCTCACTTGGTCAAAACCCGAGGTTCGGACCAAAATCCATTTACCCATTCATCCCCGAGCCTGAATATATAATTGGTTTTGGAATCCAACCTCAAATTAAGGTCTAAATCCCCAAATTTTCGAAATTCCTAGTTTCTACCCTAACCCCTAATTCTACCATGAAAACTCTAGATTTTAGGTTGATAATTCAAGAAATGTAATGGGTAATTGAAAAAAAATGGTTTAGAATCACTTACCAACAATTTGAGGAAGCAATGGTTCTTGAAAAATCGCCTATCACCGTTTGGTTTTGAGAAAAATAAATTTTTGGCTAAATCCCGTTTTTGGATTCTGTTAAGTGTTGGGCGACTGTGTTCATCGCATTCGCGAGAGCACTATCGCGTTCGCGAAGAGTACTGGCTACTAAGCCTTCGCGTTCCCGATGGTTACTCCCCCCTGGCCTTCGCGTTCATGAGGCATTGCTCGTGTTCGCGATGAAGGAATGACCAACCCTCCCCCAGGTCCCCAAGTGCTTCGCGTTCGCGATGATCTGGTCGCGTTCGCAAAGGGTAAATCCCCCATCACTTCGCGTTCGCGACCAGGCCTTTGCATTCGCGAAGAAAAATTCTCAGCCTCACCAGTTTACTCTACGCGTTCGAGAGAGGACCTTCGCGAACACGAAGAAGGATATGCCAGACACCAGAATCTGCAGAAAACCAGATTTTTTCCAAGTCCAAAACATCTCGTGGCCTATCCGAAACTCACCCGAGCCCCCCGGGGCTCCAAACCAAACATGCACACAAGTCAAAAAATATCATGCGAACCTGTTCGCGCGATCAAATCGCCAAAATAACACCTAGAACTCCAAATCTAGCACCAAATCAAATCAAATTCTCAAGAACACTTTAAAATTTCTATTTTCTCAACTGGATGTCTGAATAATATCGAATCAACTCCGTTTCTCACCAAATTTCACAGACAAATCTTAAATATCATAATAAACCTGTACCGGGCTCTGAAACCAAAATACGGACCCGATACAAACAGTACCAAATATCAATTAATTCTTAAAAATAAATAATTTTCAGACTTTTAATTTTCATCAAAAATTTATAACTCAAGCTAGGGACCTCCGAATTTGATTTCGGGCATACGCCCAGGTCCCATAATTCGGTACGGACCCACCGGGACTGTCAAAGTACGGATCCGGGCCCGTTTATCAAAAATATTGACCGAAGTCAACTAAAATTAATTTTTAAGGCAAAAACTCTTATTTTTATTAGTTTTCAACATAAAAGCTTTTCGAAAACCTGCCCGGACTGCGCACGCAAATTGAGGAGGGTAAAATGAGATTTTTAAGGCTTAAGAGTGCAGATTCAAGTTCTAAAACATAAGATGACCTTTTGGGTCATCATAGAAAATGTAAGATAAATTACTAAGTTTACAGGATTATGGAAAAAAAACTAATAAAAAGNGCAGGCATCAAGTTTTATAAAGAAACAAAGAGCACGTAGGCACAAAGAAACTTTAAAAATTCAGGACATTTTTTATATAACCATCTGCTAAAGTTTAATTGCTAAAATAAAAACAATCTAAATGAATCCTATTTATATCAAAAACTTAAAAGACTAGATAAACATAAGTGGATATATCTATAATTCTCTATGCTTCCTTGAAAATGGGTGGACTGTCGGAGAATATATACAAGATATTCTATTATGACTAATTATTCTGCAATGACCACATTTGAATGTTATTTTTGATGATTCGGTAGCTGGAATATGCCTTTTCTTATGCCTTCTACCTGGCGGGACCTTGAAATCTGGAGGTTTAATAATTAGTGACAACACTCTCTGGTACAATCCAAGAATCCGTATGTCCTATAGGATATATTTGTCTGTCGTATGTTTTCAGCCAAGATTCCTTTAAGTACCAGTTTGAGCAGAAATTGGACTTCTTGATGTTTCTCTTCTCGATAGCTGCAATTGCATGTATACATGATAATTCATCAAATTGAAACTGAAAACAATCACATGTCCTTTTGCTTAAGTCCACCAAGAAAGTATTTCCTTCCTCCTCAACTCTAGAACGCCATGAATCAACAGGGAAGACCTTCAAAGTTGAAAAACTTTAAATTAGTACATAATGTTAAATTATCATTAAAATAATAAGCTAAAATAAGAACATAATCCTTACATTTAAAGTAAAAGCTAAATCTATCTTTTTCTTCAATTCCTCTTCTACCCAATATGAAACATCATAAAAGGTTCCTTCCACTTCATTTCTTCTTTCATAAAACCAATGTTGTAGCTTCACTTTGATGAAATCCATCATTCTCAATCCATCATAATAGCACAGAATTCATTGACTCAACTATATTTGTTGTGAGCATGTCAGATCTTCATCGTGGACAACAAGAACGCGTCCACCTTTCCGGTGGTTCTTCCATCAAGTAGTCAAAAGTCTTCTTATCAACTTTTGCTATCTCTGACATGTATATATCAAATTATTTGCGCCTGTATACTCTTGCAGTACTTTGAAAAGGTTTATGACCTCACTTTTTACTTTCCTTCACTTTAGGTTCTGCTCCAAATGATAGATACAAATCCCATGGTGGCTTTCAGGATATACCTTTGCGATGACATGTGCAATAGATTGATGCATATCTGAAAAAATAATTAAATTGTCACGGCTCGCAATTACATTGTGAAGCTCACTAAAGTACCACTCATAGGAGTTGTTATTTTCAAATTCTGCAATCCCAAAGGCTAGTGGGAATATTTGGTTATTTGCATCCTTTGAAACTGAAATCATTAAAACACCACGATATTTTGACTTCAAAAATGTTGCATCAATAGCAATCACCGATCTACAATGATTCCAACCATCTATTGATAATCCATATGCATAAAACATATAAAGAAACCTGAAAATACAGTTTAACAACAAAAGGTAAAAATACAGGACACCATGTCTTTAACATTTACACTGCACACATCAAAGTTAAGGACATGGTGTCCTTAACATTTACACTCCACACATCAAAGTTAAGGACACCATGTCCTTAACATTTACAATGCACACATCAAAGTTAAGGACACCATGTCCTTAATATTTATATTGCACACATCAAAGTTAAGTAAAGGACATCATGTCCTTAACATTTACACTGCACACAACAAAGTTAAGGACACTATGTCTAAAATATTTACAGTGCAAACATCAAAGTTAAGGACACCATATCCTTAACATTTACACAAGCACACATCAAAATTAAGAATACCATGTCCTTAACATTTACAATGCACACTTCAAAGTTAAGGATACCATTTCCTTAACATTTACAATGCACACATCAGAGTTAAGTTAAGGACACCATGTCCTTAACATTTACATTGCACATATCAAAGTTAAGGACACCATGTCCTAAATATTTACAGTGCAAACATCAACGTTAAGGACACCATGTCCTTAACATTTACACATGCACACATCAAAGTTAAGGATACCATGTTCTTACATTTACAGTGCACACATCAAAGTTAAGGACATCGTGTCCTTAATATCTACACTGCACACATCAAAGTTATGTTAAGGACACCAAGTCCTTAAAATTTACACTACACACAACATAGTTAAGGACACCATGGCCAAATTATTTACAGTGCAAACATCAAAGTAAAGGACACCATGTCCTTAACATTTACAATGCACATATTAAAGTTAAGGACACCATGTGCTTAACATTTACAATGCACACTTCAAAGTTAAGGATACCATTTCCTTAATATTTACACTGCACACATCAGAGTTAAGTTAAGGACACCATGTCCTTAACTTTTACACTGCACACATCAAAGTTAAGGACACTATGTCCTAAATATTTACAGTGTAAATATCAAAGTTAAGAACACCATGTCCTGAACATTTACAATGCACAGATCAAAGTTAAGGACACCATGTCCTTAACATTTGCACTGCCCACATCAAAGTTAAGTTAAGGACACCATGTCCTTAACATTTACACTGCACACATTAAATTTAAGGACATTATGTCCTTAACATTTACACTGCACAAATCAAAGTTAAGGACACCATGTCTTTAACATTTACAGTGCACACATCAAAGTTAAAGACACCATGTCCTAAATATTTACAGTGCAAACATCAAAGTTAAGGACACCAAGTCCTTAACATTTACACTGCACACATCAAAGTTAAGGACACCATGTCCTAAATATTTACAGTGCAAACATCAAAGTTAAGAACACCATGTCCTTATCATTTACACTACACACATCAAAATTAAGTTAAGGACACCATGTCCTTAATATTTACACTGCACACATCAAATTTAAGGACATTATGTCCTTAACATTTACATAGCACAAATCAAAGTTAAGGATACCATGACCTTAACATTTACAGTGCACGCATCAAAGTTAAGAACACCATGTCCTAAATATTTATAGTGCAAATATCAAAGTTAAGGACACCAAGTCCTTAACATTTACAATGCACACATCAAAGTTAAGGACACCATGTCCTTAACATTTACACTGCACACATCAAAGTTAAGTTAAGGACACCATGTCCTTAACATTTACACTGCACACATCAAAGTTAAGGACACCATGTCCTTAATATTTATACTGCACACAACAAAGTTATGGACACCATGTCCTAAAGTTTAAAACTAACTAATAAACTCTTTTTGTTAGTTGTTGTTGTCGTCTATCTTTATGTTAGTGTATGTACCCGGGATTTTATTTTTCATCATGTACAAGTAAGAAGACAACAGGGAACTAGCTGCCAAGCCTTCACGTTCGCAAGACCATGCTTGCGTTCGTGATGGTTACTCCCCCCTGGCCTTCACGTTCGTGAGGCATTGCTCGCGTTCGCGATGAAGGAACGACCAACCCTGCCCCAGGTCCCCAAGTGTTTCACATTCGCGATGATCCGGTCGTGTTCGAGAAGGGTAAATGCCCCATCACTTCGCGTTCGCGACCAGGACTTCGCGTTCGCAAAGAAAAATTCTTAGCCTCACCAGTTTACTCTTCGTCTTCGCGAGAGGACCTGCGCGAATGCGAAGAAGGATATGCCAGACACCAGAATCTGCATCAAACCAGATTTTTCCCAAGTCCAAAACCTTCTGTGGCCTATCTGAAACTCACCCGAGCCCTCGGGGCTCTAAACCAAACATGCACACAAGTCAAAAAAATCATACGGACCTGATCGAGCGATCAAATCGCCAAAATGACACTTAGAACTCCGAATTTAGCACAAAATCAAATGAAATTCTCAAGAACACTTTAAAATTTCTATTTTCTCAACTGGACGTCTGAATCACGTCGAATCAACTCTGTTTCTCACCAAATTTCACAGACAAGTCTTAAATATTATAATGAACCTGTATAGGGCTCCAGAACCAAAATACTGACCCAATACTAATAGTGCCAAATATCAATCAATTCTTAAAAATAAATAATTTTCAGACTTTTAATTTTCATCAAAAATCATAACTCAAGCTAGGGACCTCCGAATTCGATTCCGAGCATACGCCCAGGTCCCATAATTCGATACGGACCCACCGGGACCGTCAAAGTGGGCCTGTTTACCAAAAATATTGACCGAAGTCAACTAAAATTAACTTTTAAGGCAAAAATTCTTATTTTTATTAGTTTTCAACATAAAAGCTTTCCGAAAATCTGCCCGGACTGCGCTCGCAAATCGAGGAGGGTAAAAATTAGATTTTTAAGGCATAAGAGCACAAATTCGAGTTCTAAAACATAAGATGACCTTTTGGGTCATCACATGCAGGCATCAAGTTTTATAAAGAAACAAAGAGCACGTAAGCACAAAGAAACTTTGAAAATTCCGGACATTTTTTATATAACCATATGCTAAAGTTTACTTGCTAAAATTAAAACAATCTAAATGAATCCTATTTATATCAAAAACTTAAAAGGCTAGATAAACATAAGTGGATATATCTATAATTCTCTATGCTTCCTTGAAAATGGGTGGACTGTCGAAGAATATATACAAGATGTTCTATTATGACCAATTCTTCTGCAACGACCATATTTGAATGTTATTTTTGATGATTCGGTAGCTGGAATATGCCTTTTCTTCTGCCTTCTACCTGGCAGGACCTTGAAATTTGGAGGTTTAATAATTTGTGACTTAACACTCTCTAGTACAATCCAAAAATTCGTATGTCCTATAGGAATATTTGTCTTTCATATGTTTTCAGCCAAGATTCCTTTAAGTGCCAGTTTGAGCAGAAATTGGACTTCTTGATGTTTCTCTTCTCGATAGCTGCAATTGCATGTATACATGGTAATTCATCAAATTGAAACTAAAAACAATCACATGTCCTTTTGCTTAAGTCCACCAAGAAAGAATTTCCTTCTTCCTCAACTCTAGAACGCCATGAATCAATAAGGAAGACCTTCAAAGTTGAAAAACTATATGTTAGTACATAATGGTAAATTATCATTAAAATAATAAGCTAAAATAAGAACATAATACTTACATTTAAAGTAAAAGCTAAATCTATCTTTTTCTTCAATTCCTCTTCTACCGAACATGAAACATCATAAAAAGTTCTTTCCGCTTCATTTCTTCTTTCATAAAACCAACGTAGTAGCTTCACTTGGATGAAATTCATCATTCTCAATATAGACAGCTCCCTTGCTTCTAATAGCACAGAATTCATTGACTCAACTATGTTTGTTGTGAGCATGTCATATCTTTGTCGTGGACAACAAGAACGCGCCCACCTTTCCGGTGGTTATTCCATCAAGTAGTCAAAAGTCTTCTTATCAACTTTTGCTATCTCTGACATGTATATATAAAATTCTTTGCGCCTGTATACTCTTGCAGCACTTTGAAAAAGTTTTATGACCTCACTTTTCACTTTCCTTCGCTTTAGGTTCTGCTCCAAATGATAGATACAAATCCCATGGTGGCTTTCAGGATATACCTTTGCGATGACATGTGCAATAGATTGATGCCTATCTGATAAAACAATTAAATTATCACGGCTCGCAATTGCATTGCTAAGCTCACTAAAGTACCACTCATAGGAGTTGTTATTTTCAGATTCTGCAATCCCAAAGGCTAGTGGGAATATTTGGTTATTTGTATCCTTTGAAACTGAAATCATTAAAACACCACGATATTTTGACTTCAAAAACGTTGCATCAACAGCAATCATTGGTCTATAATGATTCCATCCAGCTATTGATGATCCATATGCATAAAACATATAAAGAAACCTGAAAATACAGTTTAACAACAAAAGATAAAAATACAGGACACCATGTCCTTAACATTTATACTGCACACATCAAAGATAAGGACACCATGTCCTTAACATTTATACTGCACACATCAAAGATAAGGACACCATGTCCTTAACATTTACACTCCACATATCAAAGTTAAGGACACCATGTCCTTAACATTTACAATGCATACATAAAAGTTAAGGATACCATATCCTTTATATTTACACTGCACACAACAAAGTTAAGGACACCATGTCCTTAACATTTACAATGCATACATAAAAGTTAAGGATACCATATCCTTTATATTTACACTGCACACATCAAAGTTAAGTTAAGGGTATCATGTCCTTAACATTTACACTGCACACAACAAAGTTAAGGACACCATGTCCAAAATATTTACAGTGCAAACATCAAAGTTAAGGACACCATGTCCTTAACATTTACACATGCACACATCAAAATTAAGATTACCATGTCCTTAACATTTACAATGCACACTTCAAAGTTAAGGATACCATTTCCTTAACATTTATACTGCACGCATCAGAGTTAAGTTAAGGACACCATGTCCTTAATATTTACACTGCACACATCAAAGTTAAGGATGTCATGTCCTAAATATTTACAGTGCAAATATCAAAGTTAAGGACACCATATCCTTAACATTTACACTGCACATATCAAAGTTAAAAATACCATGTCCTTAACATTTACAATGCACACATCAAAGTTAAGGACACTGTGTCCTTAATATTTACACTACACATCAAAGTTAAGTTAAGGACACCATTTCCATAACATTTACACTGCACACAACAAAGTTAAGGACACCATGTCCTTAACATTTACACTGCACACAACAAAGTTAAGGACACCATGTCCAAAATATTTACGGTGCAAACATCAAAGTTAAGGACACCATGTCCTTAACATTTACACATGCACACATCAAAGTTAAGGACACCATGTCCTTAACATTTACACATGCACACATCAAAGTTAAGGATACCATGTGCTTAACATTTACAATGCACACTTTAAATTTAAGGATACCATTTCCTTAAAATTTACACTGTACACATCAGAGTTAGGTTAAGGACACCATGTCCTTAACATTTACACTGCACACATTAAAGTTAAGGACACCACGTCCTAAATATTTACAGTGCAAATATTAAAGTTAAGGACACCATGTCCTCAACATTTACAATGCACACATCAAAGTTAAGGACACCAAGTCCTTAACATTTACACTGCACACATCAAATTTAAGGACACTATGGCCTAAATATCTACAGTGCAAACATCAAAGTTAAGGACACCAAGTCCTTAACATTTACACTGCACACATCAAAGTTAAGTTAAGGACACTATATCCTTAATATTTACACTGCACACATCAAATTTAAGGACAATATGTCCTTAACATTTACACTGCACAAATCAAAGTTAAGGATACCATGTCCTTAACATTTGCAGTGCACACATCAAATTTAAGGACACTATGGCCTAAATATTTACAGTGCAAACATCAAAGTTAAGGACACCAAGTCCTTAACATTTACACTGCACACATCAAAGTTAAGGACACCATGTCCTAAATATTTACAGTGCAAATATCAAAGTTAAGGACACCATGTCCTTAACATTTACAATGCACACATCAAAGTTAAGAGCACCATGTCCTTAACATTTACACTGCACACATCAAAGTTAAGGACACCATGTCCTTAATATTTACACTGCACACATCAAATTTAAGGACACTATATCTTTAACATTTACACTGCATAAATCAAAGTTAAGGACACCATGACCTTAACATTTACAGTACACACATCAAAGTTAAGGACACCATGTCCTAAATATTTACAGTGCAAACATCAAATTTAAGGACACCAAGTCCTTAACATTTACAATGCACACATTAAAGCTAAGGACACCATGTCCTTTACATTTACACTGCACACATCAAAGTTAAGTTAAGGACACCATGTCCTAAATATTTACAGTGCAAACATCAAATTTAAGGACACCAAGTCCTTAACATTTACAATGCACACATTAAAGTTAAGGACACCATGTCCTTTACATTTACACTGCACACATCAAAGTTAAGTTAAGGACACCATGTCCTTAACATTTACACTGCACACATCAAAGTTAAGTTAAGGACACCATGTCCTTAACATTTACACTGCACACATCAAAGTTAAGAATACCATGTCCTTAACATTTACACTGCACACAACAAAGTTAAGGACACCATGTCCTTAACATTTACACTGCACACAACAAAGTTAAGGACACCATGTCCTAAAGTTTAAAACTGACTAATAAACTCTTTTTTGTTTAGTTGTTGTTGTCGTCTATCTTTGTGTTAGTGTATATTCCCGGATTTTTACTTTTCATCATGGACAAGTATGAAGACTGCAATTCATAATTCTCTTCAGGAGTTCCTCTTATGAAAGCTGAAGCACGTTGAATAGCACGCCACGCCTTGCGATACCCAATGTCTAGTCCATGCAATATTTGCATTTCTGCCATGACAAAGGCTGTCGTACCTTCAAACCATGGGTCTCGAAGATTGTCAATAATATAACCACTAATCAACTTTGAAGTTGCATGCCTTTGATCAGCTTTCATAGTGTTAACTGAGAAGTCATAATTTTTCTCAATCTTTACTATCTTAAATAGTGTTGAATCTTTAATTCTGAAAGCACGCACATACTACCCACACTTTTCATCATTGCATTTCAAAGAATATCTTGTTGAGCTTGATCTAACAACCTTGAATTCAAAATGTCCTTTAATTGTTGTATTCGAAAAACAGCTAATTATACTCTTCTTTTTGTCAAATATTGATCCCACTTTTATTTCATCATCAACAACAGCAACAACAACCCAGTAAAATCCCACTAATGGGGTTTGGGGAGGGTAGTGTGTACGCAGACCTTACCCCTGCCCCGAAGGAGTAGAGAGGTTGTTTTCGAAAGACCATCGGCTCAAAAAACAAAGACAAAAGGGCAAAAAGGGAGACAATATTAGTATCACAACAATAATCATATGATAAATAGGAACACCATGAAATCCAGAAGAAAGATGCAAAGTAAAGGGAGACAATATTAGTAAATATTAGTATCACCACAACAGTTATAAGAAAAATAGGAACACCATGAAATCTAGAAGAAAGATGTAAAGCAAAAGCGATAGCTAGTAAATAGGACCTGCACTGAAAAGCGAAATAGTAAGACACATCATTCCCACTAGTTATCTTAGACAAAAACCATACATGGCTAGTCCCACCATGTTACGAAGTAAGGCACGACTCAACTACCTCCTAACCTACAACCNTACCTATCCCCAATACTTCTTAGGCCGACCTCTACCTCTTCTCGTGCCCTCCGTAACAAGCTGCTCACACCTCCGTACCGGAGCATCTGGGCTTCTCCTCTGAACATGTCTGAACCATCTAAGCCTTGCTTCCCGCATCTTGTCATCAATGGGGGACACATGCACCTTCTCCCGAATATCATCATTCCTAATCTTATCTATCCTAGTGTGCCCGCACATCTACCGCAACATCCTCATTTCTGCTACTTTCATCTTCTGGATATGTGAGTTCTTAACGGGCCAACACTCAGCCCCATACATCATGGCCAGTCTAACCACCGCTTTATAAAACTTATCTTTGAGTATCGGTGGCACTCTCTTGTCACACAAGACTCCAGATGCTAACCTCCACTTCATCCATCCTACCCCAATACGGTGTGTGA